GGGGAAAATGAGGACCTAATGTCGGGGGTTTAAGTGGAGAGAAAATGTTCTGAGAATGATGTACAATGCGCTTTACACAATTGATGGGTGTACGCAATAACAGTTGTATGAGCTCCTAATAAAATGTTTAAAAAAATATCTAGGAAACAGGCATCAAAATTATGAAATGGAAACAAAATAGACTTTAAGATTAGAACTGCTAATACTAACTCTCTTATGCTGACAGTTTAAAATGCCCCGCATGCTTCATGTAAGGAGCTAGGCTAATAATAGCAGGCCAAATTGCCTAATTCTTTAATTACTCCTTCCAGCTGTCTGAGGGAGAACCAGAACGCTTCAGACAACTAGCTTCTAGTCTTCTAGCAGGGGTGGGCTCGCCTGAAAAGGAAACTGAGAGTTACTTATGAGGACAAATAAGACTATCTCCTGAGCAGGGTGTGTGTGGGGTGGTGGTGAAAGGGTTGCCACCTCATGAGAGAAACACAGGAAATGCTGGAGATGGAAAACATTGTAAGAAACCTGAGAAAATGCTTCCGATATCAAGGTCCCAGAAGAAAATGAGATTTAGCATCTGATGGAGCAGTGTGGTTTTTCTTCAAAGGGAGAGACTACTTTGGTGACTTGTTGCTTAGCAGCTGAGCACTGTCCACTGCTCCTCTCGCATACGGCCTACTGCTGTTATTCTTGTGGTCGGCCTGGGCGAGCCGTTGCACAGGTAGAAGGTGTGACCTCAGTGTCATCAGGTTCAACAAGGCATTTTAGCTATTCTGACTCAGAATCTCCAGGATGGAATTTACCAGGATGTCTTCCCAATCTGAGTTTTCTGGGAGGCTGCGTGTGTATAGTTTGAGGCAGCATTAAATCCATTTTATAAGTCTTTTAGAGGAAAACAGCAATTAAATCAGATTAATTGGCTCAGCACATCTGAACCTAAAATACTTTGATTATATGAAGAATAATGTGGCATCAGGTTTGGCAGACGGCTTACTGACAACCTGAGATATACAGATGACACAACCTTGCTTGCTGACAGTGATAAGGAATCGAAGTATTTGCTGAAGAAGATCAAGGATTGCCAACTTTTACAACTCAATGTAAAAAGAAGACCAGAATCCTCACAGCTGGACCAATAGG